TTTTTTTTTTTTAATGAATATCGACGACCACAAAATTCATCGCTGACATCACATTCATAATCAAGTCTAAGCGTCTCATGACTTTGTCTATTGTATCGTACGAAGGTTTCCTCCTGCCAATCATGACGGGGCGCTGACCCAGGGAACAATTAATCTGATCCTTGAAGGTGTCGATGATAAAGGCAATGCCCTCGTTCAATAAGCGGTCGAGGTTGGGGGGTTGACGTGCCATCTCCGTCATCATGCCAATCTGAAACCCAGATATAAAAATTCTCAAAGTCAAGGTCATGAGAAGAAGATTCAAAACACATTTTTTACTCACCGAGAGCCGGTGATCCATGAGACGGTGGCAATGGTGGCAGCCATTTTTTCTGGGGGCATGTAACCGCACCACCACTTGATTCCACCAACGACCTTCGCCCAGATGTTGAGGAAACCCCGTCAAGTCGCATTTGGGTAGACCCTTGAATTCCTGCACCACCTTCTTCCGCTTGTCCATGGTGTAGAAACACTGGACCCAGAACATGATCTTGATCTGCACCTCCAATGGGAGCACGCGGCCAAACGGTTTGTTCCTGGGATCGACTAACCCTCGGCAGTCCATCTTGACACAGTGAACAGTATGCGATTGATGTCTCTTCTTGACATTCCCTTGTTTATCCTCTGGTCTCCACCAATCACGCACTCGCGCTAGACCCCCTGGTCCAGGGAGGATAAGGTGTACCCATGGGGGGCACCCCCTAGAGTCTCCTCTCGTTCTTAGACACCCCACGTGATGGCTCTCCACTCATCTGATTCGCTGGTGGCGTCTCTAAAGCACGTTGCGCGCCTTGTGTGGGTTCATTCCAGTTTGTTCAGTCACGCTGTTCAAGATGGTGAGTTCGCTATCGTCGATTGTGCTGTACTCTATGCCAATTGCCATGCTGTTCGAAGCTCTAAAGATGTTGTGGCACACGCCTCTGAAAAGTGACTGCCTGCGTGCCTTCTTCCGAAGATGTACTCATGAAGAACTCCGGGATTGGGCCAAGACACTGCCGTGGGACCACCCTGTTGCCCGGAAACTCGACCATGAGGTTCATCGCCGTCGCATGGCTGGTAAGTGTCATGGCTTTCCTTTTTTTCGGGTGTGGGTCCCTTTTTTTCCTCATGTCCCTTTTTTGATTCCTAGACGTGTTCAAGGGGTTTGCGTTTTTACGAGACGTGTTGTGGCCTGTCCACCTGTGCCTTTGCCCTCGACGAGCTCGACTCAATTGGGCTGCGCGGTTCTGGGTCCCAGCCTGTTCGTGTTGATTTTCATTTTTTTATTAGATTCTTGGGAGGTATTGGAGAATCAGCCGGTGTGTCATATTTATCAGTGGGTCGCGCATCCCACCCCTGGCGGCGTCTGTAATCATTGCGAACGCATGATGGAGGGATTGACAATAGATGATGTAATTACTGGCAACCGGGAGGGGTCCCTCACCGAAGATGATATTGTGGAGTTTGTGCAGAGTGGGGACCCCAACCATCGAGATTGGGATGATTGGCCCTTACGAATGACGTTTAGAATTAATTCGTTTCTCCGGCGCCAGGGTCCTGTGGATGACCCGGATTTGGCTGCCTTAGGGTTTTTAGAGGATTAATTTTAGTTTAAATTTTTTTACAGCCACGCATTGTTTGTTGCGTCATCATACGCAATGGATCCGCCCTTTGCAAGCCGGTTTTTTTCGTACCAGTATTCCCGTCTTGATTCGACTTTCCACCTCTTTGTAGGCTTTCATTATACGTTAAAACATTATGGAGGATGGATTAGACCCGTGCAATTGCGATGTCATTATAGTACGGTTCGATGTGTAATTAGTCTTCATGAAACGTTTCAGATGTGATTTCCACGATGGACGAATGGGGGTGGATCATTGCCGTATACCAACGATACCATATTCATACTGTTCATCATTTTGTGCAATACTGTAATCATCCATAGTCTTCATGAATTTAGCCTATTATTATTAAATTTTTTAGATGTGATTACCGAGATTGAAATCTATGGGTACAGAGGCTGGATCCGAGACCGCATTGCTTTTTTACTCATGGCTTAGACTATTATTATTAATTTTTTTCGTAGATTCGCTTACCATTCTCAGTACCCACCAGGTTCATGGTACTTCCGCTGCATGGTGTTTCCTCAGTAGCATCGTGCAGTGGTACACTGGATCGGGACTCGCCCTTCCATTACCGAGACCCATTAAATTACTCTGTTGTCGTTGTTATTTGAATTTTCGTCGTGTCAGTGACTTACATGTGCCCTGTTATTGGTGTGAGTTGTTGCAAGGCATGGGCTACCCACCCCGTCCTTAAAACATTTTTTTTTATTTTTTTCAGATTCTCGTTTTGTCATACGAGCCATTTATCTCCCTTTCCTTTTTCAGCCATTGCCGAGGTGATAGACCGTCATTCCAGGTCCCTTCAAAATTTAACGGGACGATTGTATTTTGTTTGTAAACGCTGTTGGATCTATTTACGGCACGTGTCTGAACTCCATGAACCTTGTCGGGGCTGTGCCATGATGGACAGTATGGAATGGGAATTTTGAACACCCGGCAGGGGGAGGTCTGCATGGTGGCGCCACCCCTGCTGGATGTTCATGAATATTTTTTTTAATTAGATTCCTTTTGGATTATGGATCGTGTGATGATTTTCCGAAGCTGGCCTATCCCTCACAAACTTTGTATTGTCAATCATCAAGGATGGTCCAGCTTACTTTCTCTGTTCAAACTAAAACGTTAATTTTTTTTCCCAGACACGCTTTGGATCTTTCAACATTTTAATTTTAACCAAGATTGGATGTTACTTGAATTATTTTGTGTATAATCTTTTCCGGGCGTGACACCACGAGGGCGTCACACACGTCCCACATTGTAAACAAGTCTTTTTTTTTGTTTTTCTAGTTATTCATTGGACAGTAAGACACCGCCTCGTGCGTGCCAATGGTCGAGTGTTTTTGATTCAGTTTGCTTCTTGGCTCTAATCACCTCTCCTTTTAATTCGTTTCAGCCGCCCATTCCAATTTACAATTTCATTTACTCAAACCGTGGTCCTTCGCAGGATTCAACCATTATATTCCATGGCCACATCCGTATCACATGACTTCCATAGCCAAGTGGCAAACACCCTTTCTTATGTTTACCTATTAAAGTCAAGGGCGTTGGCTCTAACCACCCCTTTTTTCGTTTCAGCCACCCATTTTGATTTACGTCGACCATTATCTAAACCATGGTCCTTGATAGGATTCCACCATTATCTTCCATGGCCTAATCCATTGCTCATGACTCCTTCAGCCAGGAAGCAAACACCCTTTCTTCGTAATGTGTATTTTATGTAAAAACCATGGGCGTGACGTCACTAGGACCTCACACACGTCCCGGATGTAACTCAGGGTTTACGCGGTACGTTCATTAAAACTCATGCAATGATGTTGTCCTCAGTAGAGTGTGTTTTTATTGACTTCCGGGGACTGGGGCTTATTTTGAGCGTCCCACTTGTACCCAGGTTCCACGCGGTCCTTTCAAACTATGCCAAGTATGCGGATCCATCTCTTGGGTGGGGTCACGTGACTTTTATGCCCATATTTGGGAGCTTTGACGTCACTTTGGTCACATGGGCTGTATGCTTGATTCTGATTGGTCGAGAAAAATTTTGCTGCGCTGTGATTGGTCAGTACCTTCTTGAGCCTCCTTTACTACTATCACTGGATTCTTATATGCGGGTTTTTACTGTATTTACATCTTTAAAACGTCAACGATTACCTTGTTGACACTCCCGATAGGCCAGTTCCGATTCATTAAAATTCATACTTGGTTCCATGCTGAGGGGTACAATAAATACTACTTATTAGCCGAGAGTGAGGTCATTACAGGGAAATCTCAGACTGAGTCAGATGTATTGAGCGTGCGATAGCGACGGACCAGGTTAATAAGTTATTTATTACATGGCCTTTCATTATGGACCTGAGCCTGCCATCAATTAAAACCAACAGCTGGCTCGCGGATAACTTAAAAAAAAAACACTTCACCTCAATGAGTTGTACACTTGAGTCCGCAATACAGTCAGGTGCCACTTGTGAGCGGATGCTCTTTTTGACAGCTGTCAGTTGACTATAACATGGATGTCCATTTGGGATGTTCACTATAAAATTATGGTGATAACAATTTATAATTCAAAGACAGCATTAATATTGGAACTATATCATAAAGTTTTAAGTTTTAATTAGTCTCTTGTATCACTGAATTGTTCAATACTCAGGTATGGAAACGCAATGGGCTCGTGGTTTGTTCCCTCTCTTAAGTAAGTTATGAACAATTGCAATTGATGTAGTGTAGGTGAAATACTCAAAGTCGTTGTTTTGTTTTGTTTTGTTTGTTTCTTCGTCAGTTTTACTCATAACTGAATGAACGGGTTTATATCTTGTGCTAAAAGGGGCTATGTCACAAGGATGTTGCTGTTTTTGGTCAATTATGTGCTTACTGCCAAATTTAGCCAAAAGCAAATTTTGACCAAATTTCCAAATTTCCTTTTGTGAAAGTTGAAAAAGAAATAGCTTTCTGTGAAAGTACAGACAGAGAGCTTTCATTTGAGTGGCCATGCATGCACAACACAGGATTTTGTCCGCAGACTCGAAAGTTACATTCACCTTACAAAACTCTATCAAGCACTCTGGCAGTGAAAGGGTTAAGTCACAAATATTCTCCTGAGTTAGAGATATAACAAAGATATCAACTTTATCAAGCAAATATCATCAGGCAGCATTACCCATCACAATTTTTTGGGTGATTTTTGCAGTTATAGCGTTAAAAAAAAAAAAACTTCAGAAAGTTGGGACAACATTGTCTTAATCCGTGTAGATCCTTGGGGTCATCCTTGCTATCCTTTGTAACAGACGAAAGGAAACGGTTTCAATGCTTAAACATAGTCTATAAAATAACAAAGCTAGACCATTCTATTTATGCGAGTTCAGTTATTAGCATTTAAAAGATAGCAAATAGCGTGACAAACCGCTTTTAAATATATAATTTTTACTGTTTTTTTTAATGCAAAGAGTATCAGAAATTATGGTTATTGTCTTTGATAACAGCTACGTGCACCTGGGTGTTGATGACATCTGCTGCAGTGTTATCCTCAGGCCATTCAAGCACTAAGGCGAGTAGTGTCCGCGATGTTGCAGGGAATTCGAATGTGGCAGGCCAAAATACAGCCGCAGTACCTTCACCGCCTTCTGTCTCCACGTCATCCTCAAACTTTTATCTTTCAAGTACCTTGGCCATAAGTAGTTCGTCATTTGTGACACTAAGCTCTGGTGTGGCAAAAGAACTAAGCACACCCGCATTGCCGTTGGTGTCGTCTAGGCTGGTGGCATCATTGGCTGTTGTGTCAAAATCAGTTGTTCGTTCAAGCCGTCCATCCAGAAGTGAATCCTCACCTGTTGCAATGAGTTCGAACTGGGATTTGGAGCGAGGTACATCCGTATTGCCCTCAGTCTCTTCCTTGCTGTTGTCATCGTTACCTATTTCTCCAAGCAGCTTACAACGAGGCTATTTTTCATCTGTCGTAGTGAGCACTACTCTGGTATTAGATAAAAGCACAACTGAAACACCTTCACTGTCTTCCATGCTGCTTGCACCTTTAACAAGATTAGGTACGTTATTTTAAAAATCTCATTGTGATACAACGAACATTATTATGTGTAACAGTATCGTAACCAGGCGGAGTAGAAAAGGCGTACCCAATCTGCGTGCAGTATTATTCAGCTTTTGCAACAAAAAGCTTTTTCTCGTTGAACTGTCTTGGCTAAGGCCCAGTTCAAACGTCGAATTTCACATGTGCCGAACTTAATTCCTGTTTTAGTCCACTAAAATAGTTAAATACGGCATTTGATTCAAACGTCGCATTTAATTTAAACAGTTGAATTTAATTGATTCAAACGTCGCACTTCACATGCATCTTACTGACTCTCGCGTCAAGTTCGGCACATGTGAAATTCGACGTTTGAACCGGACCTAAGAAAAAAAGTTCAATGTTATATACTTCTAAATAACAATTATTCAGCTCAGTGTCAGTGGCTATTTAAGAAATGGTAAACGTGCAGCGTGCAACCATGGAGTTATGGATGCACGCGGGAGGTTGCTAAGCACGAAAGAAGCGTAAGAATCGTGCGACTCTAGCTTCTTATTTAGTCTTTCCGTCCCGCATTTGGTTTTGATCTAATTCCTTCCCACGTTAACTAGATTCTTTCTTAAAAGTGATATAATTCTAATTGTCCTCGATACTTAAGTTCAGTCCATTTATATTGCTTGCAGTCTGTCCCAATATGGCAACCCTGAATGAGACATCAGGAGTTCTTACCAGTCCTTACTATCCAAGGCGTTATCCTTTTAACAAGAAATGCAGCTGGAAAATTCTAGCAAGTAAAGGAGAACGTATTGTGTTTGTCATTAAAGACATAGATATTCGGAACTGTGGTTCATCTTGCACGTGTGACTACCTGGAAATACAAAATGGCTCATCCTCTGATGGCATCTCAGGCAGGCGAAGATGTAGATCAGATAAAGACAGTGGGATAGTATACCATTCCGCAAAAGATGTTCTGAGGGTGACGTTTGTTTCTGGTGCTAGGACTTACCGGGTGTACCGTGGATTTAAGGCAACTTACATTAAAGTGAAATATAATGCAACAACCACCGGTAGGTCATTAGAAATCGGCTTTTAACGCATTAACACATGTGCTGAACACCTTCACAAATTAAGTTGAAGGTGCACGTGCAGGCGACCAGGTTGTAAATTTTCAAGCAAGGAATAAAAATTATTGTTGCCTTATAACAGGGTCATGGCAACTGTTGCATTCAAATACTTTACAGAGTAACACACGAAAAAAACTAAAATGTCGATGAAATGCCAACCATTTTTATTGGTATGAAATTTTAAAAGAGTTTGGTAGTAAATCTCTTACTTTTTATGTTTATCTGTAGTAATGCTTTCAATTGAGTTTTTTTTTGTTTTGGTTCACAGCCAGATTACTCTTTGATTTTGTACTATAAATCTAAATCACAGTTTGCTTCCTTTGGTTGCAGCTTGTACCTCCGGCGAATATCTTAATGGCTTCATTGGATTCTTTTCAACTCCAAATTTTCCAAGTAACTACCCACAATACAGCAGATGTACCTGGAATATCACAGTTCCCAGCGGGTACATCATTAAACTTAGCTTCTTCTATTTTCGATTGGAGCCTAATCAGTACATTTCCTGCTATAATGCTCCAGAGGCCCGTGTTACAGTCACAAATGTTGCTTCAGATGATGGGTATCAACCGTTCATGCTGTGCGGCCAGTCTCTTCCTCATCCAGTGTACTCGGTAGGGAATTCCGTTCAAGTCATATTCACGTCTCTGAACAGTCAATACCCAGGGTTTAATGCAACTTACACGGCTATCTCTTATAGTTCAGGTATGTGGCATACATTATTTACATTACCAACAACAACTCGCCCCATAAAAGGTGATCCAAGAAAGTCTTGGTTTCTGGATTCCGGATGTCAGTGGCATTTAGATTGATGATTCCAATGTTAAGTAGGATTTCGGACTCCTCGAGTAGAATCGCATATTGCAAATTTCAGGATTCCGCATTCCATAAGCCAATTGTTTCTCCGATTCCGGTATCCCGATTACATACCTCACATGGCGGGAAACAACGGCCATAAACAGACAAACAAAAAAAATCACTTTCTATGGAGCTAGATCGATCTCACACTATCAAGCAATTTCGGTACTTACCAGGCGAACAAACAATTAACTCAGAAAATATTGACGTATTACTGCTTGAAAATGTAAAAGAGCAAAAGAGGAATAATGAAATGCCAAAGGAAACACGATTGGATCGGTAAAACTTAACATGATATTGCATTCAAGTATACTTGAAGAATACCTGTGTTTCAAGTTTGTCCTTATTTGTACGCAAGTCTGATGCTCTCGAGAATCATCAGTTGCTATGTAGAGACGACAAAGAGGTTTCTTTCGCCAATTTTATGTTTAAAGGCTCAGAGTGAACAAAGAAAGATCAAATTTAGCTCTCTGTCTAAATGAAAGGCCAAAATAAAAAATCAGGCCGGTTTTTTTTATGTGTGTGGCTCGCTACAAGTCTGGTAACGCGTAAACTAGCCTTTTTACACTATCTTTGAGGTAAACACAACTATCAGGCGTTGTTTTTTTATTAGACCTCGGACAGAATTTATGTCACATTTTTTTCCCTATTTTAATTATAATTCTGCAGTTTTTTACAGAATAATCTTACAAGACAAATTGCACTCATTCAATATTCAGGACGATCGAAGCACGCGCTTCCCTTGCACAACAAATTATGAAAATAACATCATAAAAAGTAATTTATATAGAGAATTCACCATTAGATGGGACTGTTCAGTCAGGTCAATCTGCCATTATGTTGTACGCAGGGTAATAATGGACTTTGAGCAAAAACTTACTTATTTTAATTCAATTTACAAAATCATCCGTCCGACCAGCCAATTCTAAATTTTTTCCAAGCGCCAAAACGTACAAAGCGAGCTGTTGAGTATTTGAATGAAGGCTGGTAATGAGGAAGAGGTCTCAGAATCATTTTCGTTTGCATTTTACTTCTAAAACGCCATATTCATTTGATACACGCAGCATTTTAAGTACTCCTGCATGCGCATTGTTCACGGACGACTGAAAATAGCAATAAGCAAAGCGATAAGAAAGATCAGATCGATGTCTTGACAAACAATAAACACAAAAAAAATTATTCAACGAAACATTTAAAAGGACTACAATTATTTATTTACGAAGACGTGTATTGAGAGTGAAGTGTCTCTGAATATCCTGAGTCACGAGTAAAACCTTGCAGATTTAAGCCTTAAGTTTTAAAGTAAGCGCAGGCACCTAATACCTACTAAAATGTCAGTTTGAGTCACCGAATGGACTCGTAAGACAACATCATCTCGATGATTGAAAAAAAGGTTTTTCCAGAAACAAACAAAAAACGCTTCTGGCGCATCCCTAAATTATTCAGTCTTTCCGCCCCGCATTTGGTTTTGATCTAATTCCTTCCCAAGTTAACTAGATTCTTCCTTGAAAGTGGTATAATTCTAATCGTCCTCGATACTTACGCTCAGTCCATTTGTATGGCTTGCAGTCTGTCCCAAGATGGCAATATTGAATGAGACATCAGGAATTCTTACCAGTCCTTACTACCCAAGGCCTTACCCTTCTTACAAGAAATGCAGCTGGAAAATTACAGCAAGTAAAGGAGAAAGCATTGTGTTTGTCATTTTAGACATTCATATTTGGGACTGTTATTCATCTTGCACGTGTGACTACCTGGAAATACAAAATGGCTTATCCTCTGATGGCATCTCAGGCAGGCGAAGATGTAGATCAGATAAAGACAGTGGGATAGTATACTATTCAGCAAAAGATGTTCTGAGGGTGACGTTTGTTTCTGATAGTTATACTTACTGGGAGTACAGTGGATTTAAGGCAACTTACATTAAAGTGAAATATAATGCAACAACCACCGGTAAGTTGTTAGAAATCGGCTTTAAACGCAAAGTTAAAGGTTTATGTGCAGGTGATCAATTTTCAAGCAAGTTAGATAAAATATTATTGCCTTATAACAGGCTTATAGCAACTGTAACATTCAAATACTTTACCGAGTAAAACAACACATAACTAAAATGTCGGTAAAATGCGAACAATTTTCATTTGCATGATGTTAAAAGTGCTTGGTAGCAAATCTCCTATTATTTAAGTTTGTCTATTGCAACGCTTTCGATTGAGTTTTCTTGTTTTTTTTTTTTTTTTTTTTTTTTTTGGTTGACAGACAGGTTACTCTTTGATTTTGTACTATAAGGCTAAATCATAGTTTATTTCCCCTTATTGCAGCTTGTATCTCAGGCGAATATCTAAATGGCTTCATTGGATTCTTTTCAACTCCAAAATTTCCGAGTAACTACCCTCAATACAGCAGATGTACCTGGAATATCACAGTTCCCAGCGGGTACATCATTAAACTTAGCTTCCTTTATTTTCGATTGGAGCCCAATCAGGACAGTCCCTGCTATTATGATGCTCCAGGAGCCCGTGTTACAGTCACAAATGTTGCTTCAGATGATGGGTATCAGCCGTTCATGCTGTGCGGTCAGTCTCTTCCTCATCCAGTGTACTCGGTAGGGAATTCCGTCCAAGTCATTTTCACGTCTCTGAACAGTCAATACCCAGGGTTTAATGCAACTTACACGGCTATCTCTTATAGTTCAGGTATGTGGTATACATAATTCATAAGACATCAGTGACTGAGTTAAGATTACAAAAAAACATCACCAACAACAACTCGCTCCATAAAACGTGAACCAAGAAAGTCTTGAATTCTGAATTCCATGCCGTGGATTCTGGATTCCGGTTGTCAGTGGCATTTAGATTGCGGATTCCAATTATAAGTAGGAGTCTGGTTTCTCGAGTAGAATCACAGATTCCAAATTCCAGGATTCCGTATTCCACAAGCACGTTTTGGATCATTTTAGGTTTCTGGGAAACTGCCCACCTACCCCTCCCCTAAGCCGACATTCACACTTACTTCTAACTTGGGGCAAAATGTTGGCTCAGGGGAGGGGTAGGTGAGCAGTTTCCTTGAAACGTAAAATGATCCCACATTTTTTCTCCGATTCCGGTATTCGGATTACCTTACATGGAGGGAAACAACAGCCATAAAGAAACAAACAAATGGAGCTAGATCGATCTCACACTTATTCAGGCAACTTCGGTACTTACCAGGAGATCAAAAAATTGACGCAGAAAATACTAACGCATTACTGCTTGAAAATGTGGAAGAACAAAAGAGGAATAACGAAATGCCAAAGGGAACACGATTGGGTAAAACTAAACAGGATATTGCATTCAACTAAATTTAAAGAACAAGTTTGTTTCAAGTTTGTCTTTATTTGTACGAAAGTCTGATGCTCGAGAATTATCAGTTGCTACGTGGAGATGACTATTTTGTCAGCCAAAGAGGACTCTTTCACCAATTTGAAGTTTAAAGTTCAGAGTTAACAAAGAAGGATTAAATTACCGAAAATACCGTGGCTTGACGCCCTAAAATTACCAAGAAATACGGGGAGAAAATAAAACTCGTGGTGGAAAAAAGTGTTGTAGTGGTATTCGTAATCGATGGCAGGAAGCGAGATGTGTTGTGTCTTACGAATTTAACCAAGGATTGAATCAGATTTAACCACCAACACACACACCATCGTGCAAACATGTGTATTCAATCATCATATTACAGTCAGAGCGCATGTTCCATAATACAAACATGGGGGGTGGGGAGGGTAGACCTAAATATTCATATACTACATTCCTCCCTTCTTCGAATTACTTGTTGGGTTAAATGAAAACGAAAAGAAAATAAAGCCTAGCTACCAATGTGTACAAATGTCTCTGAGTGCCATACAGAAATCCTAATACGACTGAACACTCCAAAATGGTTTCAGTGGAAATACAACAAAACATAAGAAACGGTTCTAGTTCAGTTCAGAGTTCCCGTTCTCAAAGTCTCAAAGTTCTGCTCTGAATCAAGCTGAAATATATAGATTTAGCCAGGGCTAAAAGCGAAGCTCCCGTTAATAAATTCATAATTTACATCAAACAATAAACTTGTAATCCACAGATCAGGGCACATTCATTTGACGTTTGAGGCAAAGGCTAAGTGATTTTAGAGAAAAATAATTTGACAGTCCAAGAGTGAAACAGCTTTTACATCGAGTTATTAAATAGTCTTATTTGTACACCCAAAAATAGCAATCATGTTCGATCACAGTAGATTAGGCCTGGAAAACAAATAGACCTACCTATTCGTGTATTGTATTTGCATTAGCTGTTGCATCATAATGTGGCATTCACCACTCTCTCCAACATTGCTCCGTTTGAGAGACTATGGATAATTGGACAACCCCGAAATATAATTTTAAGAAACACACGCGCCACGATAGTCCTTGGTGGCAGCCAATTTACACGTTGCATTCCTCTGTCTAAAAGAGAGGCCAAAATAAAAAATCAGGCCGGATTTTTTGTGTTCGACAAGTTTAGTTTACTAGTAAATCTTGGCGACGAATCTGGTGGCGTGTAAACCAGCCTTTTAAACATACTTTTTCTCATCACGTCTCAGGTAAACAGTACTATGAGGCCCTTGTTTTTATCATACAGACCTCGGACAGAATTTGTTCTTTTTTGCCCTATTTAAACCTATAATTCTGCAGTTTTTCACAATTTTGCAAGAGAATTTGCACTCATTCAATATCCACGACGATCAAAGCACGCGCTTCCTTTGCACAACAAATTATGGCATTGAATTATAAAACGTTTTCATGAAGAGAATTCTATAATGCCAGGACTTTCAGTTAGAAAAATCTGGTCCTATGTGATATGCAGGGTAATATGGGCTTTTAATGAAAACGATAAAAAAATTCCCAAAATCACTTTTCGGCCAGCCGGACGGGGCTCACTTTTGACAGGCACCAAATTTGCAGTGCGATTAATAGAGTTACCATTTACGCTTCAACATGATAGATAAATTGTTATGTTTAGGTTTTATTTCCCTTTATTTATTAAACTGCGTATGGTTTTGTTATGTGTAATCTTTAAAAGCGAGTGATATTTACGCGCGGCGTTTTGAGTATTCCTGCATGAGATGTTTATGTTCGACTGGATACAACCGGTGCAGCGATAAAAATTGCGAGAGGGACTACTAACAATCAATAAAATAAATATAATTCGGTGAAACATGTACAGAGACAATAATTTTCATTCACGAAGAGAAGTATTGAGAGTAAAGTGTCTTTGAAAATCATGAGTCAGGTAAGCATAAGCTTATTTATGTTTTAAGCCGGCTTCCCGGTGTTTGCTCTTTTTCAAGATGAACTCGAGGCAAGAAAATCGCTCAGAGCTTTCTGTTTACAGCCAAAATCATAACTAAATAATCTTCGGAACATTTTCTTTGAATTTGCGGTCAAAAAATGTCTAAAGGCTTTTTAAACCTGATACTATTGTAGGTTAGATCATTGCTCGTGTATAAACTTAAGCCGCATAAACCATACGCTCGACTTCAGGAAACCAAAAAAAAAAAACACATCAAAGACAACAATTTCTCAGGCTTACCAGTCGAGATGCTGCTTCTGAAGGTCATCAAGTGTTCCAGAATTTTCAACCCTCTTACGCCTCAAGCAAGGGCAAGTGAGTAAGCTCATTTTTGAAAACGATGCCATCCGAAATCGGATTTCCAATGACTTTGACAAGCGGTGCATTTGTCAACAAAAAGCGCAATAAACAAACCAGCCACGAATTACAGAACAATCTTGATAGCAGCTGTATTTCATTTTGTACACCAAGTAGAAAAAGCCAGTTTAAAACATCACAAGATGACACAAAACTCTGTAAGCTCCAGCTATCAGTAAGCAAGTTTCCAGACGCTGCATAAATTTTCCGCATGAACTCACCTGTCAAATTTTGACCAATCAGAACATAAAAATTGGACGTAGAGCGTGATCAACGCGTGACAGTGAGAAAAGTCAAAAGTGATTGCCTTCCCCGCATGTAAATGTAAAAGCCGGTTGAATTTTCGCGTCCGAGGTCAGTTCGAAATCAACATTTTAAAAGTGCGGCTCATGAACTCGACTTATTTCATATGCTTTTTAAAAAAATTGAACTTGAGCCTGCGATAATTGAAAAGTAGCAACCTGTCAGCGGATAAGTAAAAAAAACACTCGAACTCAGTGGGTCGATACCTGAGCCCGCGATAGGGTCAGGCGATACTGGTCAGCAGAAACACTATTTTGACAGCTGTCAATTAATCAAAACATGGATGTACAATATCAGGTTGCAGGCTCCCAAACTAGCTAGAAAGTGTGAGATTAAACATTGGTATACCTGTGGTGCGGACGGACGGAAGGTCGGGTGATCGGTGTACGGTCACGTGATTGCCGAATTTTCTAAGATGGATCGATTTTCTAAGCTATGGGACTTCGAATTGAGCCCGTGATCAAATAAAATATCAGCGCAAAACTTTAAACACTACGTGACCTCAATGGATAGACTAATGAGCCCGCGATACACTCAGGTGATGATGGTCAGCGTGTACTCTAGTTTGACAGCTGTCAATTAACCTTCATTAGAATGGCGAATATTCGAATTAACAGACTACGAGTGTGAGTAAGACATATCCGTCCGGCATATAGTGGAAAATGCCACATCGTCTACCTGAGCGAACCTGAGCCCACGTTATTAGTTTTCTTTTTTTTTTCGGGCGGGCGGGCGGGCGTACGCTACGTCATAACCAAATTTTCTCAGATGGATAGTTTACCAAATTTTCTTACCCATGGTGCTCCGCTATAAAGCCTAAAACATAGCCTTGAAATTTAGACGGTAATCTTTTGACTCTTGTTGGACGTAAGGTGACAGAATCTCTTTGCTCTATAGTAGCATCATCTGATCGTGTGTACTCGAATGGGCCGTCCTCACTTGCTCTCTCAGAGGAAACATTTACAGTTTCTCTGGACTCTTGGTTTGATAAACTTTGTGTTGCTCTCTGAGCCTCTGAAGCATCTGTTGACTTACTAGTGTCTGATAATACATTATAATCTCGCTCGATATACTTCTTCACATGGGTTACATTCTGTAAAGGGAGACTGTATGTATTGTGTTGACAGTTTGTTCTCTTTCTCCTGCCTCAGTAACACCTTATCACCTTCTCGAATCTCACTTTCACGTGCATTCCTTTGGCATTCTGTATACACCTTTCCCTTTGCTTTTCTCTCACTGTCGCGATCTCGAACCTCATCTTCGATGCCGAATTTTTGGAGATGGGGTAGTTTGGTCCTGATACGTCTTCTAAATAATAGTTCTGCCGGGCTAACCCCAGTAGTAGAATGTGGAGTACTGAGAAGTTATCCATCTCTGATTTCCAGTTGCGACCCTCTGCTTGAGCGATACGCATGCGCTTCAGGATACTGCGGTTTTGTCTTTCCTTTTCACCATTGGCTTGCGGCCATAAGAGTGCGGTTCGTCTATATGTGCAATTCCGTTTTCCTTTAAGTACTTCGTAAAATGTTCAGCTTGTAAAATGCAGACCATTGTCGGTTCTTAAGGAAAGGCTGCGGCTTGTATAACTAATAACTCGCAGTTCTTCTCCTTGCTCTTGAACTAGCACGGCTCCTAAGCCTACAGGGCTTGCGTCTGCGATCACCTTAGCCGGTGCATTCTTATCAAAGTATCCAAGTGTCTCTGCACTGAACAGTCACTTCTTTAACTCATCAAATGATTACTGTTGCTCCGGCCCTCACACAAATGGTTCTCCACTTTTTGTAAGCTGGCGGAGGGGTGCAGATACTGTTGCTAGGTCTTGAATAGACCGTGCAGTGAAATTGACCAGACCAAAGAAGCTTCGTACTTCCGGAGCATTCGTCGGTTCACAGGCATCAACAACAGCCTTTACCTTAACTTCTGCTGGACCAATTCCACGTGCCGACAAAACATGACCCATGAACTCCAAATGTGACATCTTAAACTGACACTTGTCTCGGTTCTATGTCAACCCCCTGCTGCTCAGTACTCGGACCACATTCTCAAATCTTTTGTCATATTCCTCCTCAGTGGGTGCATGTACTATTACATCCTCAAGAATATTATGAGCTCCGTCACACTCTTGCAGGACTTGGTGTAGTACCATCTCGTACATCTCAGGTGCACAACTTATACCGAACATGAGTCGTTTGTACCGGTAGAGTCCCTTATGTGTGCCAAATGTAGTGATATCCCTTGATTCGGGCGACAGTTCTATCTGTTGATAGGTGGAGGTAAGATCCAACTTGCTAAAGAACTTGCTCTGGTTCAGATCTTATAAAACTTCGTCAATGGTGGGTATTGGGACACGCTCTCGTTTTGCTGCCGTGTTGGCTTGTCGCATATCCACAAATATCAAATATCACCTGAGGGCTTGGGCACCACTACCACTGGTGAGACCCACGAGCGTGGTCCACTCACTTTTTCAATGATGTCTAGTTCCACAAGTTCATCCAGTTTGGTACTCAGTTTATCACGCAAGTGGTAAGGGACCTTCCTAATCGGTTGTGCCACAGGCTGTACCTTTGGGTCAATCGGGACTATTAGCTTGAAATCTTTCACTTGGTCAATACCTTCACAACATCCCGGCAACTTTTCAAAAAATACTGGCCTCCCCTTTTGCTCCATCCGTAGAAACCTCTAGTGAATTCACGTGAGCTCCCAGCTTTAAAACTCCTAGAGAAATGGCAGTTTCCTGCCCAAGGAGGGCGTGTCCCTCATTTTCAATGACAACAAATTCCACCCCACTTAACACACTCTCTCTAACAGACACTTCTGCGGTAAAAATGCCTGCAACTTGTAGTGGCTGATTACTACCATATGCATACAACTTCTTTGAAGCCTTAGTCGACACACATGCAACCTTATTTGCTTTCAGATATTCCCATACATTACGACCTATGACATTGCAACTAGCACCAGAATCAATAATCATTGTCACTGGTAAACCTCCTACCTTCACAGGAATTTTCCCATCACTTGAAATATTAGAATCATCTAAAATGCCAGAAGCATATTCACAATCATCACCCTGAGTACCGTCAGTTTCTAACTGCCTTACATGGTGAGATGCACCTCCCTTCTTTCCGACGTCTGTTTTACGCGGCCCTCCAGCTCCTCGACCACTGGTTTGCTTCTCTTTAGTTTTACACACAGCCTCAAAATGTCCTGATCCATTACAATTCCTGCACTGTTTCCCTCTCGCTGGACAACGACGATGGTTGGCTTTACGTCCACTATATCCACAACAAAAATATTTGACTTTTCTTGCGCTCGCATCCCCTTTGTAATTCGTCTTTCCCCTCACACTATTCACTTCACTACGGACCTCACCACTTCCTCTTTCGATTGAACGGGCCTGTTTTTCAGATTCCTCCATAGAACGAACAATTTCTCTCAATCGTGGCAGTGTCAAGTTTCGACCCTTCTGAAATAACTTCCGACGGAGTTCGTGCACAAGCATTTGCTTATCACTTGATCACGAATTGGCTCATCCACAGTTGCAGCGTCTCCAAATTCGCAGGTTTGGGCTTTTTGTCTTAGTCTAGTAAAAAACTGTTCGACAGTTTCGTTTGCCAGTTAACTTGTTTCACGAAAACAAAGCCTTTCATACGGAACATTCGCTTGGGGTTTGAAATATTTATTCAAGGTCGCCTTTGCTTTGTCTTAACTATCTGACCCTCCTTCTTCGGTCAACGTGAAATAAATATCTTGCACATTTAGTCCGGCAGTATGCAGCAATAAAGCCTTCTTCTGATCGACACTTTTGACTCCTTTTCCCGTCGCAAACAATTCAAACGCTCGAAGCCATCTTTCCCAGCGTGCGGAAATACCAGCAGTTTCTGAACAGTCAAACGGCTTTAATCCTTGTGCATCGCTTAAATATACACTTGCCATCTCGAATGAACTTCTTCAAATGACTTTCCCTGTCGCCAAAATGTAGTGTCTTGCGGATTTAATCAACGGTTGAATCGGATTTAACCATCAACACACAAACCATTGCCGCTCGTGCAAACATATTCCATTCTCGTCCCCAGAGCCACTCGGCTTAGTTTGGCTCTGGACGCAACGGAAAATACGAATTTTTTCATTGGCTGAAGGGAATTGAATGCGCAGAGCAAATTAAAAATATAATCTACTGCGCATAACAGTTTATATCCTGCCCTTTCGAACTGCAAACATGAAATCCGTGTCTGGTTTACGTCGATCGCGACAATCCTGTTTTGTTAGCAATTGAATTCTACAATGCAGTAGCAGCGAAAAAGAAAATTGAAGGTCAAGTTTGAGAAGTTTCAACGAGAACCACGAGCCTTAACAAAGAACGTTTGCCTTCGTTGTGGACTAATAATCTCTCGCGTTCGGGAAACTGAAAGGAGAAGTGAATGGTTAGCCCTTGCTCACATAGATTAAAAGTTAAAAATCGAGCAATCGACCGCACTTATGTGGCGTCATTAAATACATATTAAATATAATCAGTCTGTCTAATTCTTCTGGATATTCGTCTGTGCTATAGTAAGAGAGGAAATCAAGCTCAAGGACTACATTACAGAAACGATGTGTACGTATAATAAGTTTGTTACAATGTGCTTTTGATTTTTTGTTTTTTCTGCTGAAAGTACATCTCCTTTGCTATACTAAGAGGTCATGATAATTTTCTGTTACAAGCCTTTGAGCTCTGATGTCAGTGCACAAAGCCAGAACTGAATAGCTTATGAATCTTTTGGGCTGCATGCATAAGGCAATTTTTGTGTAAAGATGATAGGGCAAGTACTCTTTCCAATCTACACTTTCTTCCGCTGAATTAAATCTTTAATCATGGTTAGATAGTTGTGGAAGCCCTCTGATAGTGTTTATTTTAACAGTAAGAACTAGCCTGTGAAAGGAAAGGCTCTGTGGCCGACTTGTTATAAGTGTGTTGCAAGAACATATTCGCATCCTAACAGTCCTTTCTTGGCTTCCAGTCATGCGCCATTTAGACAAAGACAAACAAGGGCCTCTAGGGTGATTTATAACGAACAGCTAACAAAGAAGCAGCTATTGCACAATTTTTCTTGATAAATAACATAATTATTTATCTGATCACTAAATAAAATAGTACAATGTTCTAAACAATTTGGTTTTAAAGTTCTAAAATACAAGAAAACGTTTAAGAAACTGTTTAAAATTAGGCATATATTATAAGAAAACTGGCCTAATGTAGATTTATTGCAATGTTATGGACAACTTGTTGATAAACAAAATAATAAATGAAAAACAGCCAAGAGTAGTCTTTTGCATCATACTTCAGGGGCAAGTGGTTGTTGATGATGACAACTGAATTTTGCAGTATGTCACCTTCAACAGGGTGGGTAACATAATAGCTTGAGCAACAGTAATATTCTAGTTTACTAGCTATTCTTAACATATGGTATCTTAGTTTACTTGGTTATTGACATATAATGAGCCAAATTAAAACTTGCTTCCACTGGTCATTGATTCAGTTCTAGTAAAACTCTTTCATAGTCGGAAACCCTCATATTATAACACAAAATAATCAATTTTAAGTGAGCTAAACAATAATCACACAATTATAGCTGTGAGCAGATATTGTACTTTAACTCTATAAAGTACCACATTCAGTTTCAATACAACTGTACTACCCCTCCAAAATCAGTTCAGGTTGGCCCTACATGCAGTGTGCTTCTTGCCTTGCCAAAGTTTGACCAAACTATGTGTGATTTCAGGTCTGATCCAAAATTCTATCCCCAATTTCAAACCAGGCTTTGCAATCCCCTTTCAAAACATGACGAGCGCAGCTACTCAAGAAAATACTTTTGGGTTGTGTGATACTCAAAGTGTACTTCTTAAGGGGGTCTTCTAAAGCATACAGTCTATATAAAGCGTATATCACTCTACATTTCGTTGTTCCAGATAAGAAAGTACAGCTAAATAGCTTATGATAACCTGTTCTAGGCATTCAGATAGTGAGAAGTAAACAAGAAAACAAGAAAAAATGGCCCTCCTGGCTATAAGCTCTCCCCTAAGCTTCCAATATTTCATTTAGAAGCTCAGTTAAAAACCAATAAATGCATAAAGTAGTTTGTTTCAAATCGCTTTTTCTATTTCAGTTACATAGCCCCTTAAAAAAAAAAAAACCTTAAAACCCCTTACCCCTGTGAGGTTTGCTCATGTGTCCTGAACGTCATGGCGATTGGTCACTAGACAATCAACATTCCTGAAAATTTTCACGTGTTCACGATTTTCTCAGTTTGACAGCAAAATTATTGAAAACTCTCTCATTGAGGTATTGACGATGGTATTTAGTTAGGAGATGATAACT